CCCCCACCCCTCCCCTCCCCACGGGCGGACCTTTGTGCGTGTGTGTACCTCCGTCCGTGTAACCGACCGGCAAAGCGTGGGGGAAGGTCGGACGGGAGATCTTCCACTGCAGCTCCAAGTGGGAAGGAGCAACTTTTCAGTGCCGTGCTCTTAGCGGTTTCCTGCCTTTTAAAGTGAACTTGTTCCGAGTGTGTTATTCGAAATGCGGTTCAGTAGTTATGCCTTCAAATTAAGTTGCTTCTCGGTCCTCATTGGGAAAAGCAGACATGTGTCCTCAATTGTATAGTATAAAAAAAAAATAAAATAAAAAAAAAAAAAAATCTACTAGGTACTTTATGATTCCATCTGGAGAAATTAAAAGCCCAGAGCTGTAATGTTTATTCTTACATAGTTTACAAAAAAAGGGGGAAATGTGTGAGACACATGTCTCCAAATATAACCAAAGTGCTTTCCCTTCTGGTTAAAAAGTTGCATGCAAATGTTTTCATTTTAACACTCCCTGCCACCTGTACTTCGCCGAGAAACTTTTCTTGGCGTTAGTGATGAAGCACCAATAGTACTTATTAATGAATTAATTATTATTATGGCTGCTGAATTGACTTAAAGTGCTTTGGAGGCCAAACTAATCCATGTTAATCAGTTACAATTAATTGTTTCAGCTGCTGTTTTAAACACAGTTTCAAAGACAGAGGCGAGAGGCTGCGCAGGGGGTGAGGGGGGCTCCGGGGGGGCCCTCCCTGTCCCCCCAAGCACCGAGCCCCGGGATTTACTTTTGGGTTGCAGAAACCGGAGCGACTTTGTCCCGGTGCCCGCGTCGGGTCACGCAAAGACTCGAGGGGCAACCTGGGTGATAAACTCCTCTTGCCCTTGCCCAAAACTGCGAAGGTTGAGGGACTCCTGGGTTTAGGAGAGCGGAGTCCCCGGGGGAGATGTCCCTCTGGAGCTGGGGTTGTGGAGAAGGCAGCGGGCGGGGGGTTTTTGCTGTCCCGGCTTCTCTTGGCCCCTTCGGGCCGGGGCTTTTGTTCTGTCGGCGGGGACGAGGCGACACCGGTGGGCAGCGGGGCCGGGGGGCGCTCCGGGGGGCGCCGGGCCCTCCCCAGGGGGTGCGGGGAGAGGGAAAGGGGCGGAGGGGGAGAAGAAAAAATTAAAAAAAAAAGTCCCCCGAGGGGGACAAGCGGCAGCTGGGCCGGGGGAAGACTGAGGGGCGGCCGCGGGGCCGAGGGCAGGGAAAGCCAGGCGAGCAGCCGAGACACCACGGGGATGGGCACCCCCAGCACCTGAGAGCGCCGGGCTCAGCGGGGCGGCGGCGGGGGAAGAAGCAGGGAAGGGCAAGGCCGGGCAGAGGCCTGGGGGGTGACACCCGGGGGGTGACGGGTCAGAGCCGGGGGTGGCGAGGGCCGCTGTTTGACCCGTTTGAACCTACGGGTTCGTGCCCGGTAGGGCGGCTGCGGGGAAGCATCCCCTCCCCGAGGGGGAAAAGGCGAAAAGCAGAGTGGGCCCTGGCTCAGGTGGAGCGGGACGTGGCCGGGGTCGGCCCGACGGGGCCGCGCACTCCCCGGTGGGGCGGGGGGTGAGATGGAGGCGGGGGGTGGGTGTCTAGGCGCCCAGCTGCCCCTCTTCTTCTAGGGAAACGGGCTTTTCCACAATAATAACGACCCCTCCCTCTCAAAGTTAGGGGCGGGAGGGAGGGAGAGCAGTGGGGTTCCTTGGGGGGAGCCGGTGGTCTCCCCCAGGCAGGGACACCCGCATCCTGCCGGCTCCTGGGCCTCCGGGGGGTGAGAGGGGGGTCGAGATTGTCCTGGGGGGCACCAGGTGTCCCGAGGGATTGCTTGTCGTTAGAAACTTACACCTCGCCAAATTAAAACTCTCCCACCACCCCAGCCTTCAATGTGATTTTTTTTCTTTTTTTTTATTTTATGGCAGTCCGCAGAATGGCAATTGGGAAACTGTCCTCCCTCCCATCCTCTCTGCAATTAGGTTGCTGGGATTTTTTTTTTTTGCGGTTTGATCTTTTTTTTTTCTTCTCCCACTCCGTTCTTTCTCTAAGATTGACGACTTTTCTTTTTTTTCCTTTTTTTTTTTTTTTCGCCCTCCTTCATCCCATTGACTCTGCTCAGCTTTTGCTTAAGACGGGCGAGCAAAAAAAAAAAAAAAACCAAACAAAACAACAAACAACTCTATACGTGGAAACAGATTTTTCTTGGAGAGCGGTAAAACAAACAAACAAACAAAAAAAACTTTTACCTGCAAGAGAAGATAGTGTACAAAATTATCCCCCCTCCCGTCCCGTATCGAATATAGCTGTAATTCAATGGAAATTGAGGGAAGAGATGCCTTTTCCACGTGGGGACGGAACAAATAAGGTGGCAGCGGGTGGCCGGGTAGGTAGGACACCTCGTTTCTGCTCGTCACGCGTGGAATCGTTTTCTCCAGCTGGGGCGGGCGGTGGTGGTGTTCTCGCAGAGTTGCGGGAAAACAAATCCTTGGCTCTCGTATATCACAAAAGCAGGCTGCGTTTGATGAAACACGCGTATTAAACCAACTTTCTCCCCTCCCCTCCCTATTTTTATTCGTTTCCC